TAGATAGATAGATAGATAGATAGATAGATAGATAGATAGATAGATAGATAGATAGAAAGAAATGGATTGATAGAAATATGTTTTATATATGAAAGTATTGTGTTGAAAATAAGAGATTCTCTCTCTGTGTTTGCTTGGGGAATTCTAGATTTTGTTTTCAAAGTCCCTGCTTCGCATGAATCTCTTTCAAACATCTGCCGCAACAGAAGTGCCTGAAAAGAAGTTATATGCAAACAGTGGCAGAGTTCGTTTGTTTAAGAAAATAACTTTATACTGGGAAAATATGGACTGAAGAGGAAACTCGGTATACCGAAGAGTGGACGAAGCATAGTTGGGATTTAATCAGGCAAAGCCTTGCCCGATGTCCATAGACAATGTACACAATTTTCTACAGATTTTATTTTATGTGACAAGAAACGAGGAAACACAATGCAAAACCAACTTTGATGAAGCAAAGCAACCTCTTGACGTTAACCCAAAGATGCTTTTTCTCAAAGGACAACTGGACTTTCTATTTGTTGTTTTTTCCTGGATTTTTTTTTGCTTCTCATCCAAGAAGCTTCTTCATACCTTGATGTTCATGTTTTCTTGATGTTGAAGTTCTCCAAAGCAAAATCACCCATTATATACTGTGATCCTCACTGACACAAACAGATCATTGTTGTGGCCCCTTCCTCCACCAAAGTTCCATTGGATTGGATATGTGATAAGTCACAGATCATAAATCACCATAAGATACAAACAACAAGCGATCAATCATCAGACACCAATGGGAGACGGTAGTAGGAAAGATGAGAAGATGAGAAAAATGAGAAGGATAATAACAATATAGCCACGCTACATAAATATGGCTCAACTGCATTAGTCTCCCATTTTGGGAGAATCAAAAATTGCAAACAGAAACCAAAGAAGGGGGAAAATAGTATTTTTTTTTCCCAGTCCCAAAAAAGAAAAAAATTGAGTTTGGAAGATCTACGTGGCCGGTGTTAATGATGATTTCTTAATGCTAGTAAGGCTAATTTACATCAGAGAATGAATGACACACAAGGATTCTGCTACGAAAGCTGTCGCTGATCCAAAGACCCAAGAAAAGAAAGCAGCTGGCCACACCGACAAATGAAACAAGGAGTTGCACTGGCAGATAATCCTGACTTCTCTCTCTTTTTATTCTGCCGGAATGAATGCAGCTTGTTTCCCTAATTGCTCTTTTCTCATTGCAACCAATTTTGCAATAATAACTCACGACCTTGTGAGAAATCCAGGGTTGTTGTTGTTGTTTTGGTCTGGCTGAAGCATTTAAAATACCTCTAGTAGGGGAAGAAATAGCTGGAATCCTGGTATTTTTGGTATTCCGCTATTTATGGAAAAGTAAAATGCTTTCTGGATCAGGGTTTGATTTTAAGCATGCCTTTCCTATTTCTTTAAAACTCTGGAGAATTCTTTTTTTTTCTTTTCTTTTTTACTGCAAGCAGACCAGAGTCTGTGATTGGTAGGGCCATAAATCATGTTAAGAAAGTCATAAATAAATGCCTCTTGCCTACACAGCATTACCAGGCATCATAGGGGCTTTCCCTCTGAAAATTAAAGTTTGCTAAATCGCCTAAAACTCCACTCCTGAAATGTGGAGTTGTGTATGTCCTTGAGCCAAAAAAAAAGTAAAACAAAAAATAAAGACTCAAATCAACCTAGCTATTTATTTATATGGAAAGAAGGTTCTTCAGTGGGCTTTGTATGTGGCTTGAGTTTAGTTCTCCATTGCATATTATATTATTCTTTCTTTTTGTGCTATATATTTGCAATTGCTTAGATCAAGCCCCTAATATTCTCCTATTTATCTAGGAACATATACAACCCACAGAAAAATAAATCTTGTGGCTTATTTGATACATCTTTCCCTTCTCTTCTTATATAGGTACTACAGAGAAATGGTGTAAAATGAGTGTAAATGTATAAAATAAAAAATAGCATTCGGGAGGGAGTTAAACTGTTCTCCCACAATAAACAGTCTTGGGAGATTGGAAAGCTACTATGATTTAACTTGGAGCATGGATGTCCTTGCTGGACTACATTACTCACAATGCTTTACTATTGGTCAGGCTGGCTACCAGGGCCTAGCTCAGAATAAACTTAAATCAATTTGCTGCACAAAAAAGTATCTGTTCATATTTTAATAATCTGTCAATGCAAAGAACCAATGTGAGCATTCTGCAACATGCACAAGATCAAATGTAACTAGAATAACAGAGTAGGAAAGGACCTTGGAGACCTCTTCTAGTCTAACCCCCTTCTTCTTATGATCCAAACCTGGTTCCAAGGAAGCAAACACGAAACAAAGGTAACAGCACAACCTTTTAATGTTTCTTTACGAATCCCGTTCCTTCACGGGTAAAAGGCTGCTTCAAACCAATTAGCTCCAATAAGAAAGAGCCTCGCCAAGGTTTTGCAAAGGCTGCCAAGAATATCAGATAAAGTTATTTAAGCAATAATTCAAACACAAAGAGTCTCCAAACACCAACCAAGATATTCCGAACGTCCACCAGGCTCAAGTGCAAAAACTTCTTTGCTTCCTGCAAAGAACTCCGGTTTCTCAGCTGGCTTTTATCTCTTAAGGGAGGAGCCATGACCTTGCAGCCTTACTCCCAAGTCGCCCGTGCTACTTCAGCTACTCTTTCCTTCGAGCAGCCTTGCGTGCATGCACAGCACTGGGCACAGGCTCCTCGGTGAACTCTTCATTACTGCTGCCAGCCTCCACAATCTCCAAAGGCCCCCATTCCACTCCCTGATGGTCCTGGTCCCATCCCTGCATCACCCGCAGGCCCCTCATCTGAGTCCTCGCTCTCTGAGACCTCAACCATCCTCACCTCCTGCCAGCGAACCACAACACTGCTCAAGTAGGAGATCCTATACCATTCCAGACAAATAGTTGTCCAGTCTCTTCTTAAAAACCTCCAGTGTTGGAGCACCTACAAGTTATGAAGACAAACCAGTCCGCTGGTTTATTGTTCTAACTGTTAGGAAATTTCTCCTTAGTTCTAGGTTGCTTCCTTCCTTGATTAGCTTCCATCTGTTGTTTCTTCTCCTGCTTTCAGGTGCTTTGGACAATAAGTTGACCCCCTCCTCTCTGTGGCAGCCCCTCAAATATTGGAAGGCTGCTCTCATGTCTCCCCTGCTCCTTTTCTTCATTAGACTAGACATACCCAATTCTTGCAACTGTTCATCGTATGTTTTAGTCTCCAGTCTCCTAATCATTCTGGTTGCTCTTCTCTGCACCCTTTCTAGAGTCTCAATATCTGTTGTGGTTAGCCGGCAGCAGGTGCGGACAGCTGAGGAGAGTGAGGACTCAGATGAGGGGCCAGGATCATTAGGGAGTGGAGTGCTGCCTTCAGAGATTGTGGGGGCTGGCAGCAGCGATGAGGAGGTTCCCGAGGAGCCTGTGCCAAGTGCGCATGCACGAAGGATTGCTCACAGGAAAGAGCAGCTGCAGCAGCATGGGTGACTCGGGAGTAAGGCTGCAAGGTAATGGCCCCTCCTTCAAGAAGA